ACTTTTGACTTCTCTCTTTTGTAAAAGAACCCCTTGTATGCAAAGAAATTGCTCCCATGATTTGTAGATTTTTTTTTTTTTTGAGTCAGTCTCTGTTGTTCAGGTTGGAGTGCAGTGGCATGCTCACAGCCACTGCAGCCTCGACCTGCTGGGCTCGGGTGATCCTTCTGCCTCAGTCTTCCAAGTAGCTGGAACCAAGACACACGCCACCATGCCAGGCTAATTTTTTGATTTATTGTAGAGACGAGGTCTCTCCAAGTTGCCCAGGCTGGTCTCAAATCCTCCGGCTCAGGCAATCCTCTCACCTCTAGCCCCCAAAGTGCTGTAATTACAAGCATGAGTCACCATGCCTGGCTGTAGATTGTTAATACCCATACAAATGTAATTTGTACATAATCATTGAAATATAAATATCTAAGATAAAAGCATCCTGGGGAAAACAGTCTTTTGGAAGGTTATAGATTCAGGACCTCTCAGGCTATGAAAGAGTTATGTTGCCTTTTGTGTGTGACCATTAATTGAAAAGGTCTAGTCTGGATTCTAGAATACCTTAGAGTTCAACCCTGGACTGAGAGAGAGAGAGAGAGAGAGAGAGAGAGAGAGAGAGAGAGAGAGAGAGAGAACATGTTTAAAGCACTTCAATTTTGCAAAATGTTCTTTAATTTTTCAAAATATATATACACCTCCCCCAGAGTTCTATATATTCTAAGCTGACTTTTTATGTTATTAATGTTGTTCAGGAAAATGTATTACATTTACAGTGTATGTTTACAAGTCAAGGCCATCCAGTTAACTACAACTAAGGTTGCATGGTCATGCATTAACTGATTAATAATATAGAAAAGTAACTTTCTATAATGCGTTATACATTTATTTATATAAATCACGAGAATGGGACATCTAAGATGCCTCATGTTCAGCCACCACGCCAAATGTGGTCAGCTTCAGTAGTTAGAAGGTCTTTCCAGAAGTAGATGGGAAGGACTTTAGAATTACTTCTCTTATTTCAAAACTCCAGGCCACTCAAGCTTCTCATTTTCTCCGGACCTCTGAGGAGGGCTTCACTAACACGGGCTGGCCACAGCAAAGGGTGTCTGTCAGGGAGTCCTGTGTCATAGGTCATCTCTATCTTCCATGGGGTGGGTTTTATGCTATGAGATAAGCCGAACTCCTGGATAAGGTGTCTGACCTCTCCCTCCCCTGACAGCAATTTCTCTTCCCTGACAGTTGCCCTTAAAGACAAACTGCTAGGTTACATTTTGTTTCTCTAGATTCAGCCAACAAGCTGGCATTCCAGAAGCTCATTAGGGGGCCGTGGATTACTACGAGGCCAGGCCTGCACCCCGTCCTGCCTGCCATCCGTGTGGCCGCACGTTCTCATGGTCTGTGGGGCCAGATCGTCCCGTTCCCAGTTCACATTCCATCCTGTCAGGGTACTTTCAAAATAAATAATATTTACAGCAGCGATCAGAGTTGGCGAAAGAAGAAGGAGGGAAAAAACATCTCTCTGAGTAAGGAGATTAGATGCTGGAATCCGCTGGATTTGTGGTTTTTAAACCATTTTTCACGGGACTCCAGAAATCTCTGTAAATTGATATAGACGGGCACTTAACAAAACCCCATTCCAAGGCCAAATTAAGGTCATAAAAAAGTAACCAAAAAAAAACATAACAAGGTATAGTTTCAAGAACCTGAAGATGTTTTACGTCCAATAAATTCAGCAAATGGTTATTGGCCACCTACAAAGTTCAAGGTCTAAGCTAAGGCTATTTATAGTCATTATCCATTTACAAGTTGGATTACATCTGCTTTCTACCAAGGGCTGGGGAAACCTAAATGAAGGGGGTCTGGAGGTCTCCTTATGTAAATATTCAAAGTGACAGGAGGACATTTGAGATCAGGGTCACCAGACAAAAACCCCTGGAGAAATCCAGTCCTCTGCTTGTTTCCATGAACTAATCTGGCTTTTCTACCTCTAAATGGTTGGGGTAAAAAAAATCAAAAGAATAATATTTTGTAATCCATGAACATACAAAATTTAAATTTCCATGTCTATGAATAAAGTTTTATTGGAACACGATCACAAGCTCATCCGTTTACCTACCCTCTGGGGCTGTTTTTGCACTTAGAAGGGAGAGTTGAGTAATTGCAACAGATACCATATGCCCTGCAAAACCCAAGACATTGACTGTGTCCCCCTTAACAAAAAAGTTTGCCAGTCCTTGTTTCAGATTGTAAAATAACTTTTTGCTTTTGCTGAGACATCTGACTTTAGGAAGCCAGGGCTTTGGGAGGCTGAGGCAGGAGGATCATTTGAGGCCAGGAGCTTGAGGCTGCAATGAGCTATGCTCTGCACTCTTTAAAACAAAAAAGCCCAAGAAAAGTACAGGGAGAGTAAAGAGACAGCAGTTAAGACCTGAAAAACCATGAATGCACACACTTCACAAAGACAGACAAGCACACATAGGCCATTAAGGAAAGTAGCTTATGTTGCGTTTACAGATCAAACCCCACAAAGCATGGAAACACATACAGGTTATTAGGTGGCTTACAGGCATGATCTGTGTTTCCTATCAATATTAATTTGCTGGCCAGGTGCAGTAACTCATTCCTGTAATCCCAGCACTTTGAGAGGCTGAGGTAGGACGGTCACTTGAGGCCAGGAGTTCAAGACCAGCCTGGGCAACATAGCAAGATCTCATCTCTACAAAAAAAATCTAAAAAATGAGCTGGGCATGGTTGTATGCACTTGTAGTTCTAGCTACTTTGGAGGCTAAGGCAAGAGGATCACCTGAGCCCAGGAGTTTGAGGCCATCGTGAGCTATGATTGTACCACTGAACTCTAGCATGGGCAACAGAGTGAGACCCTGACTCAAAAAAAAAAAAAAAGCTAATTTCCTACTGACAGGCCAGACTATATGCCTTGAGGCTTTGCCTTTTTATACATGTAGTTTGCTCTTTTAACTTCTAGACCTTGAGTCTGTCCAAAGAAAGGGCTATCCTGGACTCTTTTCAGAAGAGTTTGATCAAACAGAATCCCAGGAATGACATCTGTCTTTGAGCAGACAGTTCTGCCGGCAGATGGCCACACCCTCTGCTCTGTGCAGGCTCTGGTGATGGTCATGAAAGATTGATTGAGGGGCAATTTCTTTGTTTTCTTTTGTGTGTGTGTGTGTGTGCCATCATCAAGATGTGGGGTACAATTCAGGGTTAGGTATACAAATGGTCATTGCACAGATAAAGTTTGGGCCTCACTCTGGTCCCCACTTTGCCTGGTTTGAGATCAGGTACCCTTACTGATAAAGTGCGCCTCCCTCTTCCCCTGGCAGTTTCCCACTACTACCAATCCCTTTATTATAGTATTATGATAATTGTTCAGGGTCTGCTTATGAGTGAGAACATGTGGTACTCAGTTCTTCGTTTCCGTGATAGATCACTGAGTATCATAGACTCTAAGTCTATCCAAGTTGATTCCGGAAGCAAAACCTCAATTTCTCAACCAACTCATCTTCGATAAAGACTCCACTTACAACCACTGGGGAGAGGAGAACTTATTCTGGTGCTGGGAAAACTGGCTGACCACATGCAGAAGATTAAAACAAGACCCCCTCTCCCCCAAACCGTACACAAAAATCAACTGTAAATGGATCAAAGACCTAAGCGAGGCAATTTCAACCACACTGATCAAAACTCAGTGCTTAACGAAATAAATGACAAGATTCGAGTCTACGGTTTTACAAGGCTATTCAAGTCATCCCCAGTAGTTAAGTCTGTTTATGTTTTTGCCAACACAATATGTTAAGAAAGAAGAAAAGTAGACATGGGAATATTTATGTTGTCACATGTTCATTAAAGAAATCTCCCTATATGGCAACATTGTGCCTTTTAAGGGTCAGGGGCTAAACTAAGGGGGAAAAAAGAGGCCCATAGAGTTGTTAGAATTGTCAGGGTTATCTGCGACCATATTCATACCACAGTGGTGATTTCTAGATCCATTATTAGACAATTGAACAGATGTCAAACCTCAGGACAACAGCCATGTATGAGGCTGGACTTCGAGCTCAGCTTCCAAGTAGCATGCCACCGCACTCTAGCCTGGGCGACAGAGTGAGACTCCAACTCAAAAAAAAAAAAAAGTCAAACCCCATTACATTTCTTTCTAGAAAGCCTTGCCACTAGTTCTGAAGTACAGTTCACAAAGAAAATGCAATTGATTATCACATAACCGTTCTCCTATGACTAATAAGATGAACAGGTTTGTCAAAAGCTGGGGTCTGGGGCACCCCATAATTTCTCATCAAGATATAAAAATGAGGTCTTTAAATGACCCCGTGGGCCCAGAAGGAGCCCAAGTCCAACCTGGCTAAGAGATATAAAAAGGATGTCAGGGAGCATTTGGGACCAAGTAATTCAGAGCAATAGCCTTAGGGACCAAAGAAGTTCTGTGAAATTCTGAGGCCTCCTTGGATAATAAAGACCAGGCCTCTTTTAAGAAAACTGTCATTTAAAGAAGTAGTTGCCTGATCTATCTATTCCAATGGACAAGTTCAGAGTCTGAGCTCATCATTAATATATTGACTTTTTATTTTTATATATTTTTTGAGTAGGGTCTCGCTCTGTCGCCCAGGCTGAAGTGCAGGTATGATCGCACCACTGCGGCCTTGACCTCCTGGGATCAAGTGATTCTTCCAACTCAGCCTCCTGAGTAGTTGAGGCTACAGACACATGCCACTATGCCCAGCTAATTTTTAAAATTTTTTTGTGGAGATGAGGTCTCGCTACATTGCCCAGGCTGATCTCGAACTCCTGGCCTCAAGTAATCCTCCTGCCTCAGCCTCCGAAAGTGCTGGGATTAGAGACATGAGCCACTGCACTTGACTTGGCCAACATATAATATTAATAAACTGTCCTTCTACAAACGACAGGCAGAATAGTCTCTTTTAATACAGAAGCAAGGGATTACATCTTTAAGGAAAAAAAAAAGACTTTTGTAAACTCACCTAGAAAAATCTCCCTTTGCCTCCTGTAGAAGAAAAACATTCAACATCAGTGAAACAGACTAAGCCAGTGTCACAGACTTTACAATACATACTATAACCATGACAGCTCTTCTCCTGAACAGGATGAGCTCAGCTTCCTGCTGCTGCCATCCTGTTTGTTACAGGAATGCAATTAAGAAGGAATGCATGCATTTGCCACTTGAACGTGAGACACCAATTCAACTTTAGAAAGTTCTATACAAAGAAAGTGATTCATCCTGACAAAATGCACATTTCCACCGCTGGGCCCTGGCCTAACTTGCTCTAGTTTAAAGATTCTAAATCTGAACGTGTATCTGGGTAGAACGGTCTATTTCTTGTGTCACTTTTCGTTTTGCTTTGGATTGTAGGCTACTTCCCAATGACATCGAAGATTTTGGAGGCTGGGACCATGGAATTTTTAGTGACACAAGCATAACGCCTTGGACACTGCAGTTGTTCAATGAGTATTTATTAAAGGAATAAATAAATGACATCATTTCAACCCATCTTGACATTGTTACAGTTAATACTCTGTAATATCTCTTTTTTACTTTCATTCTTTTTTTGTATAATCTGAAGGGTTTTTCCTTGTCTTTCTAGGAAGCATGAGGTGATTCTTTTTCTGTTTTTTTTTTTTTTTTGGGTCAGAGTCTCACTCTGTTGCCCAGGCTGGTGCAGTGGCACGCTCACAACCACTGCAGCCTCCACCTGCAGGGCTCAGGCAATTCTTCCATTTCAGCCTCCCAAGTAGCTGGAACTATAGGCATGAGCCACCACGCTCAGCTAATTTTTTAATTTTATTGTAGAGACAAGGTCCCCACCATGTTGTCCAGGCTGGTCTCGAACTCTTGGGTTCAGGCAATCCTTTCTCCTCAGCCTCCCAAAGTGCTGGAATTATAGGCATGAGCCGCTACAACCCACCCAGGAGGTGATTTTTTTTTTTTTAATCAACTAATTCTAGCTAACTATTTACTTGGTTTTCCCCAGGTCACCAGAGTGGAGTTACCAACTCCCAAGATAATGGGGTCATTAAGTGATCTCAGTTTCTCCAGGCTAAGGTTAAACACACAGCTTTTCTTTATAGAGATACACACCCGTCTTGACATTTTGGAATGCCAGGAGTTCCCTGTTTACTACATGGTCTCGGTATCCCTAATAAGTCTTCTAGCTTGTGGCTAGAAAAAGTTAAGAAGACAAGAGTTCCTAGACGTAGCTACTGGCTGTCCATGGAAGTCTGTTTTTCTTGGTGTGGATGGCTTAGGACACATACAGAAAGGGAGAAAACTTACCTGTAAAATATAGGAAGCTAATTCAAACACCACTTCACTGTCAACGTCAATAAGCTCCTGAAAGGAAAAACCAAGAAGGAAAACACATTTGGTATTTAACAACTACTTCTTTAAATGACAGTTTTCTTAAAAGAGGCCTGGTCTTTCTTATCCAAGGAGGCCTCAGAATTTCACAGAACTTCTTTGGTCCCTAAGGCTATTGCTCTGAATTACTTGGTCCCAAATGCTCCCTGACATCCTTTTTATATCTCTTAGCCAGGTTGGACTTGGGCTCCTTCTGGGCCCACGGGGTCATTTAAAGACCTCATTTTTATATCTTGATGAGAAATTATGGGGTGCCCCAGACCCCAGCTTTTGACAAACCCGTTCATCTTATTAGTCATAAGAGAACGGTTATGTGATAATCAACTGCATTTTCTTTGTGAACTGTACTTCAGAACTAGTGGCAAGGCTTTCTAGAAAGAAATGTAATGGGGTATGACTTTTTTTTTTTTTGAGTTGGAGTCTCACTCTGTCGCCCAGGCTAGAGTGCGGTGGCACGCTGCTCACGGCCACCGCAACCTCGACCTGCTAGGCTCAGGCGATCCTTCTGCCTCAGTCTTCCAAGTAGCATGCCACCATTCCCGGTTAATCTTTTGAATTATTGTAGAGATGAGGTCTCACCAAGTTGCCCGGGCTGGTCTCGAGCCCGTGGATTTAGACAATCCTCTCACCTCGGCCTCCCAAAGTACTGGGATTATAGGAGTGAGCCACTGCGCCCAATGGGATATGACTCTTTACATTAAAATTAAGTAAAATTTAAAAATACTGTTCCTCAGTTGCACTGGTCACAGATTTTTCAGTGTACTCATGTTCACTGTAGCTAGATCCAGAGTGTTTCTATCGCTGTAGAAAGTTCTATTGGTCAGTGCTGACAGAGCCTGCATTTAAAAATGCTTCTGCTCGGTCAGTTCTTCTTCCAAACAACTAATTGCTATCCAGGGGCATTAAAAAACCTTGGCACTCTCTTTAGTTTTAAAAAAATTCAATCCTTATACAAAGGGGACCCCCAAAAATTGGAATTTATTTATAAACAAGTGTGCGTTTGTTCTTCCATGTTTAAACTTCAGCCACCTCCGAAGTACTCTCTGTTTAATGCAAGACGCTTTTCCCACTGCTCAAAACGGTTTCTGAATGCATCCATTTTGATGCCTTTTAGTGTTTCTGCTGTTTTTTGGTTTCACCTCTTCCAAAATGTTTCCCTCTGAGGACTTTTTTCATCCAAGGAAACGAAAAAAGTCACTCAGGGTGAGACTGGGTAAATAGGGAGGGTGGGGTCATGCTGCTTTTGGTCAAAAACTGCTGAACACTCAGCGTGGTGTGGGCAGGTAAGCTCATCAGTCATCCATCATGAAGTGGGCAAACACAGTGAAAGACTCTCCGAAAAACAATTCACTGAAGCTGCACGCAGCTTCTTACAACAACTTTCACTGGTCCACTGATGCCGATGGTTCTTGGAACACTTCCCTAGTGGGCGAAACCTGTACTATAAGGGGCCCACCTTCCAAAAAATAATTCTGTTTTTTTGGGGGTCCCTCCTCCTGTATGTGTGTGTGTATTTCAAAATAGATATAATTTATATCCTTTCAAACAATTCATTGAGGTGTGATTGAAACACTCCAAAAACCTGCACGTTTAACATACACAACTGAATGAAGTTTGGACATAGGCATACATCCTGGATACCATTACTATAATCAAGGTAATAAATGTATCCTTCATTTCCAAAGACTTCCTTATGTTTTTTTTCCCCCCCGTGGTAAAAACACTAACCATGGTCTAACCTCTTCATAAACTTTTAAGAACGTCATGTTCTTTGTTCTATAAAGCTCATGTGCTCAAGGCAGGGAGGAACCTGGACTTTACGAGCATGCAAGAATAATACATTAACTCACGTCATGTTTCTGCTGTCAAGCTTAAGTAGAAATGCCCATCTTTATTTTTCTTTCTCTAAAATCACTAGACCCTGGAGTGGCTGACGAGATGACAGAAAGTAAGACGTAGGAGAGATTTAGAGACCAGCCAACCTGACCCTGCATTTTTATTGAGAACAGAAATCCCCAAACATTAAGGGACCTGCCTCAAATCACAGGGCCTTCATGGCAGCTGTGGTGCCGGAAACAAATCCCCCACTTGTCCAGCCTGTGACCTCCCTTAGGACTTCAACATTCCCCAGATCAATACTCAGCTTCAGCCAATACATTCTCAGAACACTATCTACAATCCAAGTTAGCTTACAAAGAGTTACCATTCACTTGGATTATACACCGAAGTCTGATGTGTGAATTTTCTCATTATTTCAGGGGGCAGGGCTCCAGAATTGCCCCCCGTCATTTACAATGGTTCGTTCAAGCAAACTCGTCATCTTTTGAAGGAAGGACATCATTCAGGCTCTTGCAACCCTGGGAATTTCAAAGATAGATACTAATATTTGCTACCAAACCACCTTAGAAGTGTGGGCTCAGAGAACTAATGAGAGCAGATGGAAAAATTGGGGACAATAATTCCTTATGTTTAACCAGCTGAAAGAGCTTTATGGCCGCTGTAATGGATACGGACTGTCAGTGCTGGGATGTGGAAGAATGTCTGGAATCGCAGATCTGGGATTACCAAGTCCCATCAGAATGTAAATCATTTAACAGTGGACAAATGACTTTGCAAAAACACTGCCCGGGCTTCCACAGCTGGTCACTTCTACTCGCGCTGTGTTTGCTTCCGTTCCCACGTGAAGGCAGTGGTGTGTACTTGTTAGTGTACTGGGGGTGTGTGTGTTTTTCTGTCAAACATTTACACCTGTGTTGCAGCTAATACTCAACAGTGGGCTAATATATAACATCTGCTGAGAGGCTTATCTGATGTACAACTCAGAAGCAAATGTCAGAAAATCACCCCGAAATTTCAGTGTGAACACAGCTTTTAGTTCACTATGTAATGAAAACCTAGATTTGTCTGGGGCTGGGGAAAAAGAAGGAAGGTCTTTATTTTATTTTCCGCAGTGCATTATGCTGCTCTAGGAGGTAATTGGTGGACATGAACTGTACTGTATTTATCCACAGGAAAGCTACCAAAAATGCACCGTTAAACATCTAACCGGATTGATCCAAGTTCCCTCTCACCATGGTTGTCTTCAGGGTGAGAGAACTAGCTAGCACCTTTAACTGGGGTAACTTTCACCTTCTCTGACCATGACCATCTCCCAGGGAAGATGTCAAAAACAGCAAGAGTTGAAATGTGGCCAATAAGAAGAAAAAGGATTAAAGAATGAGCTGGGCATGGTGGCTCATATGTGTCATTCCGGCACTTTAGGAGGCCAAGGCAGAAGGATCACTTGAGCCCAGGAGTTGGAGACCAGCCTGGGCAACAGTGAGACCTCATCCCAAAAGAAAGCAACAGGAACGAAGTGTCCCAGACATCGCACACACTTGCAAAATCTGATGGAAAAAAAGCTGCGGTATTACTTCTTACCTCTCCTATTTAATATTTATTGAGTTCAAAGATCATTTCATCAGGGGTCCTCAGAGGAGTCAACACAAAAATCTAAAAAGTGTGTCTCAGAAACAGTCTAGGAATGGTGGGAAGACACGTTCCTAACCGTTAGACAACTCTCATGTCCCGGCAATCTGCCCGGGTCCCTCGTGTCACTTGTTCAGAACACTTTCTGTTTTAGGCCTCTCCTTCCCAGGTGATTTTATCCTTACGGTTCCACTGTGATGGAGCAGAGCCCTAGGCTTCCTGCCCACTCCACAGATCTCCCACTGGACTTCGAAAACTGAAGCCCAGGTTCCACGAGAGGAGTTAACAGATGCTTCCAGGTATCTTCCTGTGAGAAATGTGCTGCCACGTAACATTAAAAAGATGAGGTTGGGTGTGGTGGCTTACGCCTGTAATCCCAGTGCTTTGGGAGGCTGAGACAGGATGACCACTTGAGCCCAGGAGTTGGTGACATAGTGACAACTTGTATATTAAAAAAGATAAAATAAATTAGCCGAGTATGGTGGCATGTGCCTGTAATCCCAGCTACTCAGGATGCTGAGACAGAAGGATCATTTGAGCCCAGGAGGTTGAGGCTACTGTGAGCTGTGATCAGGCCACGACATTGTAGCCTGGACAATACAGTGAGACCCCGACTTTAAAATAAAAGATGACTCTACCTTTTCCTCATCTGACTTCTCTGGCAGTCCACAGGTGGTTTCTTTTGTGATTTTCTGCTCAAGCTGAAGAAATAAACTGATTGAGACCATAAGGGGTGAGCACAAAAATCCCATGCTTTCTTGGGGGGGGCGGTGGGTTCTCCTTTAACTGAGGTCAAAATGGAAGAGTGGAAGGATTAGCAGGAGAAGACTCTACCAGGAAGACGTAGGGAAGTGTCCATCTGCTGGAACTAAGGTGTCATTCCTCTGTGCTCATCCAACCCACATGGCTCTGTGAAGCCTCCAGTGTTCTTAGAGCCATTTGAGGACGGGTTTCCGAGGGTCGTTTTCTGAGCTAGAATCTTGCCTGGGAATCTAGGGCGATGGGTGAGCACGGAATAATCTTATCTTGAGATTCTGGATAAGACCAGGGAGATGCTGGCAGGAGGCATGCCATGGTTTTGGTTATCATGTCCTTTTTTTTTTTGAGTTGAGGGTTTCACTCTGTTGCCCAGGCTGGAGTGCAGAGGCACAATCATGGCTCACCACAGCCTTCACCTGCTGGGCTCAGGTGATCCTTCCACCTCAGCTTCCCAAGTAGCTGGGACTACAGACACATGCCAACACATCTGGCCAATTTTTTACTTTTTTGTAGAGACAGGGTCTTGCTATGTTGCTCAGGCTGGTCCTGAACTCTGGGGCTCAAGCAAGCCTCCCGAAGTACTGGGATTACAGGCGTGAGCCACCATGCCTGGTCTATTGTGGTCATTTGGTGTATACTTTGGACATCTGCTTTCCTTACCTCTTGAATAATACACTCTGCCTCCTTGGATCTTTTGAGAAAGTGGTATGGAAAGACAAAATGTGACCCCTCTGCAAGTGTGTGCA